TTCTCTACCCATGAGATCCCATTTGCATCGTATTGTTCCCATTTGCATGGTACTGTTTGCAGCTGTATGACCGGTATTTCCACGTGTTGGGTGAAGTGGTAATGAGATGTGTGTCCCATGTTTTTTTTGTGTCTTTTTTGGAAATGAGGGAGAGAAGCCCGAATCTCAGCACGGTCTCGTGACCATGCGATTCCAATGTTAGTCACGGTATCTGCAGGAGATGTGCCCATAGTCCTATTGTTTCATGTTTTAATTGTTCTTTGATCTGCCAATTTAAAGAGCTCAGGACAATGGAACAATTAAATCTAGCTCTTAAGAAATTTATTAAAATGCTCACTGAAATAAAGTCAGACATAATTACATAGGAGACGAGATCCATGTGCTCCATTGTTCTAGGCCGTAGAATCTACGCGAAGGGGTGCTGAGCGCACGTGGGACATATACAACAATGTTGTATATGTTTATTCAGAGCTCTGCAGGTTATTACCTGCCTGGGGAAGATTTGTAAAATGTCAGAATAGAAATTCATTAGCGCAGGCCCCTCCTCTAATCCTGTGTCATGGTTGGAGCTTGTCTTTGTGTGCAGATTGTTATAATATGTTATGTATGTGCTTCAGATAAACATTGAAGGGAATTTATCGAAACTGGAGCAGACAAAATTTGGAGAAGATGTGCACGGCAACCAATCAGCTTCTCTCTTTCATTTTTGAATCTTAACTGAACAAACTGAAGAGAGATGCTGATTGGTTGCCACACACAGCTGCTCCAGATTTTGTCTGCTCCAGTTTTGATAAATCTCCCCCCATTGTGTTTAGTATGGCATGCAAAAAAACCGCATGGTGTATTTGGGGAGAGGAGAATTAGATACAGGAAGGAGAAGAGTCCTCTAGCAGAGCAGAATATTTCAGGAGAGGAGAGTTAGATAGAGGAAAGAAAAGTCCTCCAGCAGAGCAGAATAGTTAGAGGAAGGTGCAAAGTATTGCGGGAGAGAAGAGTTGGAGGAAGGAGCTGTATAGATTATTTCAGGAGAAGGGACCTAGATAGATAAAGGAGCAGAGTCCTCCAGCAGAGCAGAGTATTTCAGGAGAGGAGAGTTATAGAGGAAGGAGCAGAGTCCTCCAGCAGAGCAGAGTATTTCAGGAGAGGAGAGTTATAGAGGAAGGAGCAGAGTCCTCCAGCAGAGCAGAGTATTTCAGGAGAGTTATAGAGGAAGGAGCAGAGTCCTCCAGCAGAGCAGAGTATTTCAGGAGAGGAGAGTTGGATAGAGGAAGGAGCAGAGTCCTCCAGCAGAGCAGAGTATTTCAGGAGAGGAGAGTTGGATAGAGGAAGGAGCAGAGCACAGAAAACAATAGACATATATCCGCACACCTGTTAAAGGTTAGCTGGGGACAGAGCGATGTTCTGCAGATCCTCACATGGAGAAGATGAAATGTAATGTCTGTGCTCTGTGTTTTTAGGTGGGTAACCCTAATGCAGCAGATCTCGTGTGTTCTACTTAAGCATTCTGCCTTGTCATCTTTCTCACACACTATAATCACAGTACTGACGTGGAGTACTATGACTGCTCATCACCCGTTTTATGAGAGTAGTTGTCTTTACATGGAGACCTATGACCTTGTAGAACTTCCATGGCACACACCTCTACTTCTACTTCACTGGTATACATACTGCCTGCGTGGGGAGTGTGGCTCAGATGAGTACTGGACAGAATATAGGATACAATGACCGGTAGAGGAAGGCCTGTTCTCTTGAAAGAGAGTGTGAATGGACATTTGTGGCTGGTTCTCTTCACTGTTGAATGGGGTGGGAGGTTATCATTTATGGCAGCCTTTCTCAACCTATTTAACTTGAAGGAACCATTGAAATAATTTTGAAGTCTCAGCTAATAATAACTGTATCTACAACTCAAGCCACATTTGTGTGAACGGTAAGTTGAGGAGATATAAGAATAAATAACAAAAGTACGGTGCTTGAATTGCAGTATTTGACACCCAGGGGTTCTTTATGTGACAAAATTATTTTCAGTAATAAGGAAACAAATTATAATCGCTGCCAATGATAAAAATTAACATTGGAGTGTCCCCGCACATTGGTGTTCTGTTTATGATGATAGTCAGTTGAGACATGTCCCTCTTATATTGGTGATCAGTGAATTTTCCCCTTGCATTGTTGGTAAGTGAAATGCTCCCTTACAGCGGATGTACAGCGGAAACAGTCTCACATAGATTGGTGGTCATTAAAAGAAGGACCTTCTAACACTGGTGGTCAGTAGGAGAAGGGCCACATTACTCTGGTGGCCAGTGGGAAGTATTCCATTACATTGGTGTCTAGCGGAGAGAATGTCCTTTGCATTGGTTATCAGGAGGAACAATTCCCCAAACAGTGATGGCCAATGAGAGAAAGGCCTCCTTATACTCGTGGTTAGTGGAAGAAGGACCCCAGTGGAAAGAATGCTTCTTACATTGGTTTTCACTGGGAAGAATGCTACTTAGATTTGTGGTAAGTGGAGAAAATGCCCCTTATATTGGAGGTCAGTGAGGAGAATGGTCTCCTTACACCGGTGGATAGTGGAAGAAGGGCCCCATTCATCTATTGCTATTACATTGGTGATCAGTGGGAAGAATGCCAACCTTATAAATAGCTAGAAAGAACATTGTTGAGGGATGCTAACCTAAAAATCAGAAATTGCTCATTGTTTAAGGAACCCCTAGCAATCTCTGGAGGACCATTGGGTTCCACAAAATCCTGCGTGGGAAAAAGGCCAGCTTATCGCATAAGATCAGATAGTGTTAATCCTTCACGACTGATGAAACACAGCTTTTATAAATGTATATAAACACACCAATGCTGTTATCATGTGTTTTTCTAAGGCAGACTATCCCTTGACTAGAGAGACCAGCTGGAATCCATCTTGAATGGGAAAAAAAAAAATTTGGTTGGTTGTTGTCGGCTTATCGTGCTCTGCTACTGTTTATTGGCTCAGCCTAGATATTTGTTGGTATTGCTCATAGGATGCAGATACACTGAGTGGCCGGATTATTATGACCACCTGACGTTTGTAGGCAAATTAGCTATGATTTGGCGGTGAAGTTGCTAGAGGGCCAGACCATTATAAATAGGGAAGCAGGTTGGTTACCACGACAGTAGAAGTGATTTGTTTCTGAAGATACGGGGAAACAACGCGATTTAACAGCCTTTGAACGTGGGATGATTGTTGGCGCTCGGAGCCATGGAGCGAGTATCAGCAAAACAGCAGAATTTGTTAAATGTTCAAGAGCAGCTGCTGTTAAAGTGTTTAAAGACCGGACTGTCAGCCGAAAATCTGGGTCTGAACGTGCGAATTGTGGCCGTCAGCGACTAGTCAATGTTAGGGCAGAACGGGGGAGGGGCAAGACTGGTACAAGACAACAGAAGGGCAACAGTGCCGTGTCAGATTCCTTGCATCACCTTTCACCATCTCGTGGAGTCACCAGGCGGCCCAACGAAGTACTGATAGGGTGGTCATAATAATCTGGCCACTCAGTGTATATGTGTTTGTTCATTTCTGGGGTCCAAAAGGGCCCAAAGCTGCAATGTTATGGTTTGTAAGATGGTAGAGAGAACCCCGTGATTGCTAGAGGTCTTGGAAGTCTAGAAATATTGCTTTATGTATAGTAAGTGCACTTGACTTTTTTCTTGCTTGTTGAAGGTGTTCATTTATACACAGATTTGACCAGATTTACTTTTTAGACTTGCAGTTATTAGAGGGAGAGGGGCATCTGATCATTTTATTTTTCCTTTGAAACACACATAGGTCTAAGTGCCAGTAAAGTCAAGCAAATAAAGCAAAGAGAAAGGCAAACCGGGAACCTTATCAAACGAGCATCATGTATGTAAATTACACAAGGTAGGTATATATATATTTTTTTCCGTTCTAGGTTTCCATCACCAGACTGGAAAGAAGAACATTAATTGCTTAATACCCAGTCATATCCTTTGTGATTGATTAACTTCTTGGAAGGGATATTAAAAACAATAGCGGGTGTCTCTCTATTTATGACAGGTTGCAATTTTTTCCTCTTTCCATGTCCCACGTGCCGACTCATTGTTTGTAAATCTCTTATATAAGACGGATGATGAAGTAGAGGAAACATCTATCCCTTGGAGCTCTGGAACCTGTCCATCCACATTCCCAAAACAGGAAGCCAATCCCACAGTCTACTGGGTCAGTGTGTCAGAAATCCTCCAAAAGTGCTAAGACAGAGGAACCAAAAACAGACTGAGCTTCATCTTCATCATAGAGGGTTGACTCCATCCTCACCTGGCACCTTACCATAGAGAGGTGGCTTCATCCTTTTCCAGTGCCTGACTATAGAGAGCTGGCACAATCCTTATCCTTCTCCTAACCATACAGATCTGGCTTCATCCTCATCCAACTCTGCACCATAGAGAGCTGGCTCCATCCTCATCCAACTCCTCATCATAGAGATCTGGCTTCATTCTCATCCAACTCCTTACCAATGAGATCTGGCTTCATCGTCATCCAACAACTCACCATAGAGATCTGGCTCCATTCTCATCCAACTGCTCACCATAGAGATCTGGCTTCATCCTCATCAAACTCCTCACCGCAAAAAGAGCTCAGTCCATCATCATCCAGCTCCTCACCATAAGCAGGGCCCAATTAATCCTCAACCAGATCCTGGCCATAAACAGGTGCCACTCCATCCTTCTACAGCTCCTCTATATACTGTGAGCACTCCACCTTCCTCCTTTCCCTAACCCTATAGAGAGTTTGCTCCGATCTCCAACTCCTCACCACATAGAGATCCTTATCCAGCTGCTCATCATATAGATAGCCTATTCCAACCTCTACCCACCCCTCATCATACAGGGAACTTGTTCCATCCTGCCCAACTCATCACCATCTAAAGTGCTCACTCTGTCCTCTTCTAATTTCTAACTAAAAAAAGGAGAGCTTGCTGCATCCTCATCCAATTCTTCACCATATCCCCATCCAGCATATAGAGGACAGTTACGAAATTAAAGCAGCTATGAAGACCATCACCTGCCTTCTGCTTATGTCCGGTAAGTCCATAACCAGCTTCCATGAGTATCAGTCAGTCAGTAAATGTGATCACTTCAAATTCCAGATTCAGAATAGCTTCTCGATATCTTTCTAATGGAAACAATGCAGAGATAGTGTTATTTTTATATTTAGGTTGCAGAAAACTTGTCGGTGAATCCGGCAGTGAGAGAGGAAGTTCCGCAGCACAGATTCAGGAAACATGTCCACCCTCCCACTTGGGAGGAGTTCTCCTAGAATCTTGCTGAATTAGGTTAACCGAGTGAATGCTTTGACTGTCGTTGTTTGCTGGAGACAATTATCCATTCGCCTGTGTCCATAAATACAGGATCCCAGAAAGACACATTTGACAGGCACGGAGATTTCAATGCTTTCTCAAATGATTACACACAGGGAGGATTTCGTATGAGCTCACTGTCTCTGGTGAAGCAGGTCTGAAACAAACAGACCTCCCATGATAAGTACCTGGAAGCGACCCAAAGTAGAGATATACAGAAAAGGGGCCTCAACAAAAGGTCAGAGTCCAGTAAGCTTTTAACTGTTCATAATTTGAACACCTAAAAAAAATGCAAATGCATTTTGGGTCACACCTCCTCCATCATCGGGGCTTAGAAAGATGGAGTATAGACTTGAATGGACTCACAGACCACTATAGCCAAATGAACCTATATTGGATCTGATATACATTCTCCTATTTTACTGCAATTCTACACCATGGTCAGTGGTGGAGGATGAACATCGGGGTTCAGGTTGACCACACATTTGACCTGAACCAAGGCTGTTTGCAGTTTGCAAAATGGTTGAATGATTTGGCTCCTCCGCCAAACCTCCGGCTATGCCCCATCAACCAATGATGATGATGTGTGGCTCAGCTCGCAAAGAGTCATTGGTTGACTGTTGACTAAGCTGCACCTCAACTATGCTGTGTGTGTGTGTGTATATACTGTATGTGTGTATGTGTGTAATAAATATATATATATATCTATATATATATCTTTATATATCTCTCTCTCTATATATATATA